TTGGACAGGAAGAAACCAAACAGGACAAGACAAGATGAAAGCCAGAACTTGTTTTTCAAATTAGACCTTTCGCTTGCGGCTGTTTGGGTGGTGGTGATGGTTGTGGTGGTAGATATCAGAGGCACTGAATTAATTTTTTCAGATCTCCTTTCATTTTATCTACCTCAAGTTTAAATGTTACAGTGAATGAAAACTGGGTACTTCAAGAGCCAGTTTAAGCGATGTGTTTAATGGTTGATGCATTATAAAAAGTAACTGGTAGGGTTTTCTTTCAAAACTGTTCCATAAAATTTTCATTCCAATTCTGAGTTTTGAAACAGGGCTCCAAGTTTTAGTTGAGAAAAATGAGCATCTACTACAACATAGTGCCCAGAAATAACAATAATGTATTGTATGCTTAAAATTTTACTGAGAGTAGATCTTACATGTATGTGTCGTGTGCACACATATATGCACATGCAAATAGAGAGGTGGGAAGAGGGTGGAGGTGATGGATCTGTTTGCAGCATAGTGTGGTGGTGGTTTTACAGGTGTCTACCACTCCACGTTCATCAAGTCGTATGCATTAAAAATGTACATCTTTTGTGTACTTCAACCCTATGTCAAGAAGAAAGAACATAATAAAAGCAACTGGCAAATCTAGCCTAGGAATGAAAGGGCTGAGGTGTCGTCCTCAGTCTAATTCCAGCTGATGCCAGCAGTGGACTTGGGTACATTTTGTGACATCTTTGAAGCTCAATTTCTCATTCATAAAATAAGGTTTTAAGCATCATGACCATCATATACACACACACACACACACACACACACACACACACACACACACACACGTATATATATGGCAACAGAGAATAATAGTTAAATAAATGATGATTATTATTATATCATGGAAGTTACATTTTTAAAGAAATGTTTCTTTTTTATTAGTACATATCTGCAGTAGATGCAGCGGGTGCATGTACACCATACAGCTTTCTTTTTTAATCCCCTTTGCCTTCTCTCCTCCTCGTGCCCCTCCTCCTCTAAAGCCCCTTTCCCACTTTCATTCTTGTTGACATTATTAATCTGAGCTCATGGCCATGACACATACTGTTTACATTCACCGAGGTTACCAGGTCCCTGTGCTTGGCGTATTCTTACTCTACTTCCTTCCCTTTCCCTTCTCCTTCTTCCTTCTCCCTCGGTCTGCTGGACCCCTTCCCATCTGCAAGCGATCTAAGAATGTTTTGTTACTTAGTTTATATGTGCATGAATTTTCAATTCCTATCTTATGAAAATACCTTATTGATCTGACTTTGAAGTTTGCTATATGACTTACGTGTGGATTAATTTATTTTGATTCACAATTTTATTATCATATGGGAACTGGGGAAAAATAGTACTACCTAAGCATTGGTGCAAGCATATAAAAAGACTCAAAATGCCTACGTATTATTTATTTCTTTATCTAAAAATTTGGTTTTTGATTGTTTATTGAATGCTTAAAATCTTCAGCATGTTCCTTTTGCAGATGGTTTTATAATTTCTATGAAAAGATATTAAGTAGGTTAAAATTCATTTTATTGCAGCCAATTTGACTGCATTTAACACTACTTTTCCTTTCCTTTTATTTATTTATTTTTTTTTGTTGACTGTCTTATCTGTTTTATGAAAACCAGGATTCAGATTTAAATTATGGTCATGAAGTTCTGCCTCATTCCTTGGCCTGCTTGTTTCCACATTATTCAAAACAGTTTGAAGGGTGTAGCTCAATGATAGGATGCCTGCATAGCTGTTCAAGGCCCAGGCTTTGGTCACCAGCACAGCAAAAATGGAGACATGAGCTTTGAAGCAATCCAAAGATGTCATAAAGTAATATACTTTTGTTTTGGATACGTCTAACATTTCTTTTCATGGCCAAATAAAATGACCAGATCCAATTCCACTTAACAGCTCAATCAGTTACAATAGTCTGATAATTTCATCACAGAAATGTTTGTCAAAAATATCCTTGTTTCTCCCTATGGTTCATGTCTTTGTAGTCCTGCGATAAAACGTAGGACCTTTGCAGTAGGAAACATTTTGAGACAGTTTCTTGTTTGTTTTTGGCAAGATCCTGTATAGTCGCTAGCTTGCCCAGGCTAGGCTTAAACGTGTGACCCTCCTACCTTCTCCTCAAATAAATAGTGGGGTGCACCACCACACCCACCCCATAGCTCCTGTGTTAGTTCACATCTTTGTCTCTTAGCAACAGGTTGAGTGATTCTCTTAGTAAACTAGCATTTGAAGAGCATCCTGTCAGAACTGAGGATGTAATGACGCACGTACAAGCTCAGTGCCATCTCTGTGTTCCTATCTCATTGCATAAGGCTCTTACCTGTCTTTTGGCCTTATCTTTGCCTTTTGTCTTACTATCTCATTTTGTGAGGAATTCTGTGTTTTCTTTTAAGCCATATCTCCATAACTTTTGGCCTTCTCTTTGGCTTTTGTTCTATTGTCTTCTAAGCCATATCTCTATAACTCTTCAGCAGTCAACACTGCCTAAAGGTGAGTTCCACATTCTTTACCCAACGTAAGGGCTTCACATTTGGTTGTTATGACAAACCCCATGACAGAAGCACCTGTTTTGTCCACCATGAGTTTTTGTGGCCTGTATCCTTTAAGACTCAGTTCTGAAGCCAATTCCTTTATTTTGGTCACCATCTTCCTTTGGCCATGGTAGTTTGTCCTTTGAATGCCCTTTGTCCTTTAGATAGACCTCCTCTGTGATAGTCACAGGGTCTCACGTATTACCCTTACCTCACTTGACAGTAAGAAAATGAGTGAAACCTCTACTGACATTCTTTGTGGATTAATGCATAACTCTAACAATATCTAAAAAGCTGAACCATCCTTTCTCCTCATTATCAGTAATAAGTTTGAACTCTGTATTAAGTGGTAAGTAATTGAGTAGATTTGTTCACTGTATTGAGATCATTTCCTTAAAACAATTTTAAAATAATCAGGACTTTCTAGTAAGCTATTTAGAGAATGATGCTCTGGAAAGCCATGAGTATTTTGAGACTATTTTGTGTTTCAGTTGTAGGAAGCTTACCTTGCTTTGAGCCTTGATGGAAGTGTCTGTCTCCTTCCTACATGGTGCTTTGGAGTTTCTTTGTCCCGATGTTAAATCACCATGGTCTTTGGGAAAAGGCATTCATTTTATGGTGATTTCTGTGTTCTCATTAGGCAGTTCCTATAGTTTCTGGTATTAAGTCATGGGAAAGAACTAAGGGGAAAAAAGAGTTCTGTTTCCCAAGGTCCTTCCTGTTTGGTTTGTATTATTCTTGGATGAATCTTTAGTGGATAAGACTTGTATGGATTTTCCAGTAAGCTCTGTGATGACATTTCAAGACAAGTGTTCCTTTGGTTTTCATTTTATTTTCTCTTCATTATTATATTCCTCTTCCTTTTTTTAGTTTTTCTTTCTCAGTACTGGGGATGGAATCTAGGACTTTTAAATTTAACTACACCCGCACAGCTTTTCATTTTGAGACAGAATCTTGCCAATCCACTAAGTTGCTCGGACTGGGCTTGAACTTGTGATCCTCCTGTCTCAGCTTCCCAGAGTACTGGGATTATTGTGCGAGCCACACATGACTCCCCCACCTCCCCTTTCAGTAGTTTCCCCCTCCCCTTCTTCCCCTTCTCCTCTTCTCCTCCCTTTTCTTTCTTCAGTAATAACTCTTGAAAACATTTCTCACCCCTCCATCTCACATGCTGAGTCCCATGGTCAGGGCCTGGAAGTGACTGAGTAGCACAGAATGGCACTGTCTTTGCAAGTCAGTTTTTTATTTTCATATAATATAAATGAATACACAGGAAGCAAAAGAGAGAACAAAGTTAATCAAGCAAATAATTGATTTCCCAGATTATACTGTGTCTAGACTTGGAAAGGCAAACAAAATATATGAATTTTTGAAAGTATGGAGGTTTTTGTGTTTGATTTTTAACCATTCTTCTGAGGCAGGAAAGGGAAGAACTACTTTGTGAGTTGAAAATGTAACATTATATCATTAAAATTCAAAACTTATTTTTTGGTGTTGCCGGTCATTTTGTAATTCACACCAGGCAAGTGTGGCCATGGCATATATCCAGCAGACTTTTCATTTCTAAGCCATATATTAGAAGTTAAAACTTTTTGGATTCTGTAGGTTGCATAGCTAGGCGATGTCAATATGGGCATGTAGAAGATAAGGCAGTGGATTTATAAATGTATATTATGCACTTCTCACGTTAACTAAGGGAGTTTTAAGATTAAGTCTGTGATGCATATGTCATTCAGACCGTGATATTCAGATGTAGTTATCTGTGCTTGAAGTTAACTTGTGAAAGATGATGAGTATGTGTTTTATTTTATTTTAGAGAATGTACCCCATACTTCTGTGCAAAAATGCATAACATATCCTAGAAGCAAGAGTTGTTCTGATTTTTTAAAAAATTTTTGTGGATTAGAAACTTCAAAATTGAAATACAGTCTGGGAAATGTACTACAAATATGTTTGAGAGGTCTGGGAGCAACACCTAGACTTAGTCCTTGGGCTGAAAAAGTATTAATGAATCAGTGTATTAGCTAGCAGTGTGCTCTGACTCCCAACCCGATTCGGGTTGTGTGCTTTCATAGGGGACAGAAGCAGTATCATTGGAAAAAAGGGTTTCTTAATGGATTGGGAACAGTGTGGCTTGCTAGCTCCTAACCGGGAAACTTAGTTCTTTGGTTTCTTTGTGTTTAGCCCAGCTGGTCCCCAGCTATTTTAGCTGAACATTTTACATACTAATGGAGAGCAGGGGAGTACATTTGGCAGCTGTTCATGGGATAATAATGAAATAGGCGGTTTAGTACTGAATGCTGTTGCTATAAAATATGAGTAATATTTTATAGAGATCTTGGTGAGCCGAACTACATTCACTTCACCAAGTGTGTGACCCTGAGTGAGGAAGTTGAATTTCATATGAGAATAACTGGTCCTGTTTTCTTACAGGTAAAGAAAACGTGCACAGAATCCGATGTTTCAGAACCTCAGAATTCCAGGTACAGTAAAACAAAGATCAAAACGTCACTAAGAAAAATACTGTCTTGCAAATTAATAGACTATTATCTGCACATCAGACACACCTGTGAATTGAGACAAGTGTCCTAAAGTACTTAAGTGTATGGAAATTATTCATTACATTGATTAAAGTGCCATTAATTATAACATCAATAAAGAAGACATGATTGAAGTTAGTTTTTAAAAATGATAATAGAAATATTTCTAGAAATACTTGACATGTGTTCCCTTAAATACTATTTTAAATTAAACTTACTTTTCCATTCTATTCTGTTCTTAAAATGCATTTAGATCTGATATTGTCCCCAGTACTGAATAACAGACAAATTTGTGTTTATAAAAAACATAAAATGTACACCCTTGAAAGATTTTTCTAAAGAAACACTGCTATAGTTTGAGAGTGCTATCAAATTATTAAACTCAACATTAACTTGGCATTGTCTTTTTGGTTGTTAGGAACTGGTAAAAATGACGAATTAAAATGGTCAGGCCACTCCATGGAGGAATGTAGCAGCATTTTGTTGTTTGTGGTTGGACCAGGTCCCCAACAGATTTTTAAGCCTGTGCCTTTTCATTACCTTCATTTCAAAATGCAGGCTTCAATTTAGCAGAGAAGCAAAAGTATGATAATACCATGACAATAATGAGCATAATTCCTTGATAGGATGTTAGTGATGTGACTTAGCCTATTACACTAAGAAATTTGTATCCATTGTGAGATGGGAACTAGTGTGCTACTAACTACAGCATATGATGTTGGTAATGATTTTCTTGGTTCAATAAAACACAACATATCTGAGTGAACTACTAACAGGCCACTATAATTTGCTTTTGTAGAGCAAGTATATATTATGTGCTAGTAAGATATGCTATCATTGATTCTGCTAGATATAAAAATATTGTGTATGTACAATCTGTCCCTTTGTATCATTAACAGCATATGACATAGGATTATTTGATCTTTATTCCTTCTAACTGGCTATCAAACTAGAAATAAATTATTTTCAGCTTATTGGAGCATTAGGAATAAGATGAGCCACTAATTATTTTTCTGCAAAGCAGAGTAGTGTAGGATGTATAGACATAAAGGAAATCTGGAGCACTAATCCCTGTTTCCTTCCCAATCTTTCTGCTGAGCTGTAGGAACTGATGGCCTACCCCTTACTCTGAAAAGAATGTAGACACGTAGAAACGTTGTTCAGTCATTTTTGGAAGCACTGTACCTTGAAAACTCAGGATCAAAGGAAAACCACAATATAATCATCTGTATTACTAAATATTTCAAAACAATTTTTATGCCCAAGGTTGCTCAGGGTTTTTGATATGTAATCTTACATAAATTTTAAGCAAGTAGAAAGCTACAGTGTTCATAGGTGACATTGGTAAGTTAAAGGAGAATTTTAAAAGTTTCAGAGCTCAGTGGAGTTATGAAATTATTCTTTTTTTGTGTAGAAAATCTCAGCCTGTGAGACTTTATTTTTTATTTTAATCTGTAAATTTTATTTCCTGTTTTTTCTCAGATAGTTTACATTAAACACAGCAACAACAACAAAATCTAGGTTGATGGTATAATTTTACATTTTTAATACAATTTCTGAATATATTCTTTTTTGTAATTTTAAAGAGAAAAAAAATTAAAATAACAACAAAACAGTTTCAAAACAGGCTAGTAGGACAGTAACAATAGATAACACATTGCTTATTGTTATATTCATAGTAGTTGCTCAGAGTACGAGGTATAGGCATGGCTTTGCAAGGGTAGTTTCAGAGAGGAGAGAGTAGCTCCGCGGTAGAGCACTTGCCAGCATGTGGGAGGCCCTGGTCTCCAACTGCAAGCACTGCACCAAAAACAAAAACAAAAAACAGAGGAGATAAAAAGTATAATTTTACTTTTAAGATAAATAAAAGTTATTTTAATGGACTGTTCAAAATGTATTCTATTACTTGATATTATCTCTATAAACTAAAAAGTGGCTGCAGTTCCTAGAAATTAGCAAATAGTTAAGGTTAACTACTTCTTAAAGTTACTTTATATGTAGTATAAATGGGTAAATTTAAGTAAGTGATTTTCTAAGAATACTAAAGCTGTTTTTTGTCAAAAACAAATAAACTAAATGCAATCCTTATCAAAACTCTAGATGGAAAAGCCTTCAAGAGGACTAGAGTCACTTACAATTTCAGGATGCCCACACATTTTGGTAGTCGCAGGTTTTCTTCCTGAGTTTTGGTACAAGAGCCAAAACCCACACTCTAGTCAGGGTTAGTAACAAAAATGTGGCTGTTTCAGGTTTTTGAATTTATTCATGGCCGCTAAATCAGTCCAGTGTTACAATGATGGCACTAGATCATGAAATGATGAAACATTAAGAAAAGAATAAAAGTAGGCTAAAAAGCACTTTATATAAAAGATATAATCATTACTGAATAGTTAAGGAATCAACAAATGCTTAAAATTACATTTATTAGGTGCATGCACTGAAATTCTGCTTTTATAATCCTAAAGCAGTGATTTAATAATCCAAATGAGTTCATTCTGTTTTGTCCATTAAGAACCATAATATTTATATATTAACTCTCCCTTCTTCTCAGTCTACCTGCAAGTGTGTGTGTGTGTGTGTGAGTGTGTGTGTGTGTGTGTGTGAGAGAGAGAGAGAGAGAGAGAGAGAGAGAGAGAGAGAGAGAAAGAGAGAGAGAGGCAGAGATAGAGACAGAGACAGAGAGCCTGGTGCTTCATGATTCTATTCTAAACAAACCTTCAGTAAAGAAGAGCTCAAAGTGAAATATATGGTATCAGCATAAAATGCAAGCTGGAGACTCACTGCTTTACAAAAATGCTGCCTCATTTGCAACCTAGAGCTAATGGCATTCATTTATTTAGCCAGCTTTATACTGTGTTGGTTTTGGATTTGCAATGATTAGAATAAATGCAGATTGGAAAGTATTTTTACAGTAGGGAAGTAATTAAATTGGGTGTGGAGGCTTTGTCAGGAGAATTCTTGGAGTGACATATCTGTATCAGCAAATTCTTTGTCTTGCTTGGCCCTAATTCCTTTTGGAAAGAAATGCTTGGACTGCAGATGTAACTAGTTGATTGGGGAAAAGAGAATTTACAGACTCATGCAGTATGAGTAAGGCAAATCTGTCTTCTTAGAAACAGCAATATATATATATTCTAAAAGGTAGACATCGGGGACATTATTTGCTCTGCTTCCTAAAGCTATTAAATTTGATATCACATGGAATCAAATACACATCATATAAAATTTTACATCCTTTGAATATTTTCCTTGTTTTTTTTTTTCCATCTTCTGTGTTGGTAATCATATCTGGAGTATACTGTTTTTGTCTCTATTCTTAAAAATAATAACCATAAAATAAATTCTTTAAAAATATTCATGTTTATATTTATCTCATGCTTTACTTATCTTCAAAGTAAATCTGCTCCTATGTAGGCCATCTTAAAAAGTAAATTGCAACTTTATTTTTTAACTTTATTTTTTCATATTCATAGTAAATTTATGTATAGATTTTTGATTTATTTATTTGAGTCACTATAAAAGAACATGATTCTTATTAAATATAATAGTTTCTGGGCACTTTATAGTAAGGGTTTTGCTGAATCTTACATTTGAAAAAATTGTTTCTAATTTAAGTCTTTTTTAATTCTGATAGGAGAAGAAAAATTGTACCTCGTTCTTTTATTGGATCCTTTATAAATGTTTTAGAGTTCCTCCGTATTAAAGTAGCCTGTGTTATGGATTTTTGTTTGTTTGTTTGTTTGGTGTGATTTTTTATTCAGTTTCTCTTGGACTTTTCTCTTTTGGGCTTTCTATTTTGAGCATTGTCAACAAGAAGACATCAGAGATACACAATGGAAACACAACTCCATCCAGAAATTTTTATTTAAACTTGTTTTAGGAACTAAAGAGTGAGTGGAAATATAAATTTTGGTGAAATTGGGCTGTGAAGTAACTTCTAGGAATTCAATCAGCTCTTTTCCTATAGTGGGTTTGTGTCATCCTGCTTATAGTGCTGCCTGTAGAACCCAGGAATGAGACTGGTGGAGAGTGTGAAAACAGGAAATATATGTGGCACACAGGATGTAAGATGACAATTTTTCCATGTAGGCAGTAGAAAAGAGATTCCACGGGTAATGGTGAAGATTGATCTTCTCGCTTCATAAGTTACAGAGACTGCATTTTTTGAGAACTTACAATTGCCTGAAATCAGCAAAGGGCTCAGCCTGCTTCTCCTTGCTGGAATCTTTACGAACTTTACAACCATCCAGAGAAAGGCAAAATGTCCGTCCAACTTTAAAGAAGCGTTGGAATTCATTGTTGTTTAATAGCTAGTGTTTAAGTGAGCCCCAGGAAGTTTATTGATTCAAGATTTAGCTGTAAAATCTTTAAAAATGCAGTGAAATCATCATAAATAGTTATGATTTAACAATGTTACAGTCAAGGCATTAAGTTATACATATTTATTTGCTAGGATAATAACTTTTGCAGTGCTTCCAGAAGACTGAAATGTTTATTTGCATGTAATTGCCTGCCTAAAAATTAAATGCTATATTGTTTCCACTGCAGGGAAAGCTTGGAGGCCCTTCATGAAAACATGCATAGTTCATTACTATGTCAAAAGTAGGTTCATCTAGTCCAGTATTCTGTCTTCAGAGGTCATTACTGCCAGGTTACATTTCCTCAAACTAGAAAATTTTGGAATGTAGTTCCAAAAGCTTAAATTCTCTCAATAACACAGTGTAGCTCTGTAGTTCATATAATTATGCAACATTTCTTGGACTCAGTTATATTATTAGCATATGCTATGCTTTTGACTATGAACCCAGAAAATTACTAATCACATGTAAAACAATAATCAACTCCTTCTAGTTATTTAAAAAAAGACTCTTTCAAGTTATGAGATAGGCATCTCCTGAAAATGATAGGTGATTGACAGATGGGTATTCTGAGAGTATGGTTTAAGTCTCTTGGGATTTAATTAACCTGTGTGTTAACTTAACCTTTTTCTTCCAACTTGCAGTGTTTTGTCTTAATTCGCAGTTGTACCTCATGTGGGCTTCTCCCCATTCTCTTTATCACTTTTCTCAGAGTCTGGAGATATTGTGAATTCTTTTAGGCTTTTCTTGCATGTGTTGATAGATTGTTACAGGTGTGGATTCAGTAAAGAGGATGATGTGTTGTGTGTTGCTGTTAATTGCACTAGGTAGGTGGTAGTATCCTTACCCTTTTGGTCATGGTAGTATGATGAGCTGATTTTTTCAGATAATTGATGTCTGTACTAAATCCAGGATATTAGTAATTTAAGATTTAAATGTCTCAAAACTTCAATTGTATTTAAATATGTTATCACATATATGCCATCAGTCCTGTTTTATTGGAAACTCCTGGCAGTTTACCCTTACTGGGGAAATTGGTTAATACTATCTGTATACTTGTTCACTTCTTAGTGTCTTTCTCTGTTAGAGTAAATCTTGGAATTAAATGACTGAGCAAATGAGGGTAAAATAATACAAGTGAAAGGCTCTCACTCATTGTTCCTAATAGAACCATTAACTCCTAGGGCTGAGACTGAACCTTAAGCCCATTAGAGAAGAGAGATAAGCTAAGGCCTTGCTATCACACCCCTTTTTTCTCTGCATGTTGGCCGGGATGGCGGCTGGAGTGGGTGTGGATTCCTCATTATTTTAGGTGATGCTTGTTATTGGTCGCCCCTACAAATAAGAGCCCCCTAAAACTGAAAAAGAGAGTTATATTCTTTCAGTTGTTTTGTTGTTTTGTTTTTTAGGCAGGGGTATAAAATCCCTTAGAAAACTTAAGAAGAGAGGGTGTTCTGAGTCTCAGGAGTGGGGACTAGGGCTGGCTGTCCCTCTGTCCTTCATCTCTCTGATCTCAATAACTTCACTGTGTCCAGAGCTTTGTGTGCGCACCAGTGGATCAGCCTGATGTTTTCTCCAGGAACCGCCAAAGGAGGCAATTTCCCATGTGATGGTGCTCTTGATATTGTATATTTTCTCTCTTTAACCTCCAAGTAGAGAGTAGAACTTCACTTTTTCTCTATCATATTTCCAGATTTCTAGGAAAGATAATACTACCCAGAGACATGATCACAAAAAAGAATGTGGCTGAATGAGGATTGAAAAGAGATCCTAAAAGAGGGACCCTGAGAAGATATGCCCTTCCCTTCTAGGAATATGTAATCTATTTGTTTTATCCAACACCCTGGTTCATGGCTCCTTTCATAAAATTTAAGATAAAAAGAATGCACCCTCTTCTCCAGTTAGAAACAACTCAATAGTTACTCACCAGCAGGGAGACTTATTTTATATATCACACATCTATGAACTGTGATCTGCAAAGCAGAAATTTCTTGAAACAGAACTAGAAGTGGAATAGCAACCAAGCTTCCACGTAAGAGGACCGCCACTGCTCTCTTTCACTGTCTGTCTCTCCAGCATAGACTTTCTGTGCTTGGCTCCAATCTGACCATTTACTACCTACCAGACCCAGATTTTTTTTTCTGCTCTCAACTGCTAATCTGAATGCAAATTTCTTCCCTTCATTTCCCATTACTAAACTAGACTTTAGATTACCTAATAGATGCACTTTAAATTATTTACCATCCTAGGGATAATTTTGCTGAAATTAAAGTCCAGGTTTGGACTTTGTTTTGAAACCAACTCTCAATCAGTCTTTAAGAAATATAACCAGTAAATGGTAACCTGGATACCAACTCTGAAATTTTGGCAGACCTTCTCCAGACAGTGAGGGGTTGCTTATCTGATGAAAACATGATTAAAATTGTGCTTGTGACCTAAGGAGAAATACAGCAAATTGTGCTTACATAGGGGAGACATTATACACTATTTTTCTCATGGTTAAAACACATTTTCTAAATTTTCTACACTGAATATCTGTGTTGTTTGTCTGCTTATATATAAAGCATGAAATAGTAGATTTGGCTTGCAATAGGCACCACGGTAATGGGATGGTTCCGGCTTCTTCTTCCTGACCATCGCATTGTTCTCCAGCAATGAGAGGATGCCTGACCCTCTCACAGGTATTAACCATGAGTTACAGAGCATGGGGATGACCTTGATCAGCTTCTTCTAAGTATGCTGAGCATCTCTGATGTCTCATGCAGCAGTCTCTCCACAGACAGTTACTTTAATTTGGTTAGAGTAATGCATCACAGAAGATAGTATTTGTCTAATGCCTTTAAAAAAATTTGTCCTGGGGATGGAACCTATGGCCTGTGCGTG